ATATATATATATATATATAAAAGAAGTATTAGAGATATTTTTTTAGTTTATCTGGCATTTAAATTTAAGTTTAATATGTATATTATATAATATAGTAATTTGGAAGCCCTTTTATGAACAGTAATTGTTTTCTATTGGACCACTTCTATTTTTTTCTTCAGCAGTCAAGGGTATTGTTCATCATGTACACGGGTCGTCTTCTCCTTTACCACCGCTACTTTGATTAGTTTATTCCCTCCACGTAACCATCCACCCCCTTAAATCTCTCGCCTAACACCTTCCCATATTTCACTTTAACTCTTCTTCTTCTCTCATATGCATCACAACCTACCACCGCCTCAATTTCTACATGTATCACCCATCCATTACAATTCATTCAGATGCGTTATATTCCTTTCGATCCTTCCCACTGACTCTCGAAAAACCATCCATCTCTCTCTAAACTCATCGGCAGATCATACTTTGAATGTAGAGTAGTGGCTTCACCTGTTTCAATGTCATGGGCTTCCAGCGATACGTCTTCTCTTTCCCTTCTTCCTTATCCTGACACCGTCTCTGCCATCTTTCAATTGCCGACATGACACGACATCGTGTTTTTTACACTTGATATCAACACGACACGAACACAAATTTGAATTTCAATTTCGTCCTAATTTTGTTTCGTTTCGTGTATTTTTGTCGTGTCATATCGTCAATTGCCACCCCCAGAATCGGCTACTCGCACCACCTAAACTAAACAAGGGCCGAACCTCAGCCTATGACGCAAAACTATCGGTTTAACCAAAAGTCAAATTGAGCACAAACTTAATGGTCAACTAGTCAAAGTCAATAGTCAACGACCACCGTGTTACGGTCAACTCCTTTACTGTTCCGCTGTCACTAAGCGCCAAAAGAGTCGCGATTAGCCTTCGCGACCCGTGTTGCGATCCCCAAGACTTTGTGTCGTTGTTAATGTCCTAATAGCTTAATCTATTAAGATCTTAACATTTAACGTCCATAGTTCAAAAGCTCGGATGTGACTCTTCTAAGAGTCTTAATGGATAAAGTTTCCAACTTCATCCATTCTCATGATTTAAACTCACTCAAATTCCAAACCTAACTCTAAAATGAACCAAAACCCATGCATGGTCTCAAGGAGATGCATGCAAACTCATTTTCCTTACATCCAACAACTCCATAAGTCATTTAGGTCACTGAATAAGTTTTGGAGTTGTCCAAACTCCCAACAACATCAAGAAAGGGGCCAAAATCTCCTAAAAGTGACATAAAACTAGCTCTAATGAAATAAAGATCAAGATAGAAGCTTTATACCTTCAAAGGTTCAGAACTATGGTAGGAATGATGGATCTAAGCTTGAAAAAAGCTCTCTTGCACCAAAAGGGACTTCCTTCTCCTTCAATCTTCACAAAACAAGGTTTAAACACTCAAAACACAAGTATGGAGGCTAGGGTTTGAGAGGGAGATATTCACAGAGGATGGGGCTGCCAAATGAAGTAACCCTATAAGTTAAGGCTCTTATATAGGGCCAAGGCCCGAGACCTAGAGTTTTGAACCTCAGCCGCCACTGCATCGCGGTCCATACCTGACGGCACCGCTACTTAAATGGTGTGGCCGCGTCACGACACTCTAAGGTTCGCTTTGTGGCCCACTGGAAACCCCATAACACCAAGTTGAATAAAATTAAATGCCAAAAGACTTATACCTGGAAACCGAACGTTACAATTAGGGTTAAATGTTCTAAATTTTGTGTCAATGAAACTTTGGTTCCTAAGCTTTTTAAGTTTCTAACTTAATTCTCTAACTAACTTCTATTTCCCGCGACAAGCCATTGAACTTTTGCATAAACCATAAAATGTTATTTTCTTAACATTTTAGATCCGAACTTAGTCAAGTCAAAGTTAAATCTAATTTTTTGAATTTGGTAAGTTTGGTCCTTAAAACTTCATATCTTCACTTTGACCACATTTATCCTTCATTTCAAACTTTAACTTTTAAATCTATTAATATTGTTTTATTTTGTTTATAATATTTTGTTTAATTTATTTAATTATTTCCACATAGATGAATAAGATTTTTAGCTTTAAAATGCAGGTATTACAATTAAGTTGTGAAACAAACATACTCCTAATAGTCCTATGTATATATAAAAATATAAAATAAGAAGGGGATAAGGAATATACATTACAGACTCACCTAAGCTTAGGTACTAAACCTATAAAAATATGTTGCTTTAACTTAGTAAATATATCCGATTTGGTTTTCACTTGGTAAATATATCATCCCCGATAACATTTATTTCCTCCATTATTATTTTACCATCCCTATTTTTTCTTTCCGCCATTATTGTTTATTACTTCACCCCAGTGAACATTACTTTTTTCCACTGTCACGAAGATTTAAGATAACCAATATTCTTACTTCTTATCAAAAATATTGCGTCAATCTTGAATCTACATCTCCAATTGTTAATCGTGAATATTCATTTTTCCCAAATAAGAAAACCTATTTGATTTTTTAGTTGCCAGATATATTTCGAAAGGAAACGGTGAAGATTACCTCTAAAAGAGATGTGAAATAGAAATTACGAAATAATATGTCAGAATTAAAACGTCTTAAATATTTGGAACTAGGTGTGAGACCCGTGTATTACACAGATTCATTAAAAACAGTTATATTTGAAGATATAAATATTAAGTATTTTTTTAAAGAAAATGTTAAATATCAAGATGTAAATATTAACTATTTTTTAAAGTAAATTGTCAAAATAAATACAAAGAAAATGATAAATAAATAAATAATTCAATTTATATTAATAAAACAAACTACAGATAAATAATTATATTTTGGCCATATAATCTTTTTTTTAGTTTTATTAATGAAAAACAACAAAGTTTGATTATTTTTTCTAAATAGACTATTTTGGCCTAAAATAACAATTTAATGACAGAAATATGTCAATTTAAATTATGTGCATTGAAGGAAACATATTAAATTTTGAAAGTATAAAGAAACAATTTAATGACACATTAATTATTTTCTATAACCTAAAAATTAGAATAGTTAATTAAGAAAATTGAAAATTACAATTTAATTTTAAGAATTAACCATAAAATGACATGACAAAATAAATGAGAATGTAAAATAGAAGAAATAATTTTAATTTATTAGAATAGCTCGTATTATAAAATTAGTGGTCACTTCTTTCATATTAATCAAAATGACAATCAATTTGATAAATAATATACATTTGATCATTCATTTATACTGTATATTATTTTATTCATAATATCATAATCTTGATT